ATATTAAAATAAAAAGGTACATCCACTACCACAAATATGGTTGCATACAGTAATGCTAAGGTGGTATTTAAATTGAACAGTCATAGGAAATAACTGTGCAGATGATACACTCGTGGAAGAAGTTGGGGAAATAATATAGTACATTCTGAGCTCAGACTGAAGGGGCCTCAGTCCTCAGCTTGCTCTGTTCCACAGGCCTCCATCCACTGCCCCTCACCACATTTCTGCTCCCCAAATGGCCCACTCACTGCAAACAGGAGGGCTAAATCCAGTGCCTTCTGGGGTCTGGGCATAGCTGGCAGCATCAGTGGCTTGAAACCCTGAATCCTGACATTCATGATACTCTGTGCTGAGCTTTGCCTTGGCACCCTCAGCCTCACCAGCAGCCATGAGCAGCTGGTGGGAGGAGCTTAGCATCTGTATCAGGAGAGTGGTGCCGGGTACAGCGCGGTGGGTAGGAGGGGCCCGGAGGAGGGCAGTTAGCTCGGTGTTGGGCTCCTTCCAAGTGAGGCAGGGCAGGCCCCATCCCCTCCTGACCCTGCCACACGCTGCCAGCAGACAGGCTGGCCTGGGACTGGGCTGGGCGCCCGTGGACCTGACAGCTATACCGCTTCCTCCTGTGTGTCTTAACGCCCAGAACCATATGCACATCAGACACACAGGACGGTGTGGTGACCTCTGGGAGCCAGTTCCTAACTCTGCCACCAGCAGGGAGACTGTAGACAGGTTCCCTCCTGTGGGGCATTTCCCAAACCATGCTCTGCAGAACATCCATGGGTATGATGCTCAGAAAGCCTTCCAGATTCAATTCAGGTTGGTTCTTCTACTGCTATCCCCAGCTCAAAATGTCTTAAGCTTCTGATGCTCACGATGGCAGTAATAATACTATTAAACAGCAGTTAACCTTTATCAAAAGGCTTATGTGGGCTGGATGCTACCGCGCACGTCTTACATGCTTTATTTTATTTAATACTCCCAACACCTGAGGCTTATGGAGATGAAAGTAACTTGCCTGAAGTCTGGGCTCTCAAGAAGAGACCATGGGGAGAAGATAAAGGGAAGAGGAAGAGAATTAACTACCAATATTCATGCTTGGCTTAAAACAGCGCTTCCTAAACTTTAAAGGGCACACACATCACCTGGGAGTCTGTTAAAAGGCACATTTTAACTCAGTAGGTCTTGGGTGGAGCTGAGGTAGGGCATGTGTAACAGCAGTGGGCTGATGTTGCTGGTCCTAAGACTAGGCTCTGAATGAGGAGGCTTTGGAACACTTGTGTTTTCTCTTGTGCTGAGATGGGATTCGTTCCCTCATTCATGCACTAATTCATTCCCTCATTCATGCACTAATTCATTCATTCATCCATCCATTCATTTGTAGATGCCATCTAATAGCAAAGAGCTGGAACTTTGCATTTGGAACCAGGTTCTAATCCTAGTTCTGCACTGTTCAGTAAATGGGCGTTTTCTTTGAGTCTCAATTGCCCATCTATAAAATGAGAATGAAACACATTTTAGAGACTCTTTTGTGACCATTAAACGTAATAAATTGTAGCAAAAGTCTGCCTTGGGGGCCCAGGTCAGGGTGGACATTCCATAGATGGTGGTGCTTCAGGAGCTTATTTTACTATTCATGTGTTTATTTATTCTTTTCAAGTGAGGTTTCTGGATGGTTCCAATAGGTTTGTTTACATTAAAACAAATGTATTTATTAAAATAAGTTATTTGTCATATATATTTAGTTACATATTTCCATGAAGATGTCCCAGTAGCTCCAAAAGCTATAGTGATGGGCCCCAGGGTCCCCACCACGAATGCGAAATGTGCTTCCAAAAGGTAGAAAGAAATTGGGGAGGAGACAGCCACATGTTGATGAGCTGCACTAACCATTTGGCAAATGACTACACCAGAAAGGAGAAGTGAGAAATGCTTGTGAGGGGGAGAGAGCCGGAGACTGGGTAAAATGACAGCAAATCCCAAGCTGTTAATTATCCAGCGGGAACTAAATATTACGTATGCAAGTATCAACAGGTGTCTGAAAGCCACAATAGGGAAACCTGGTCCCTGCAGAAGGGCTCAGGCCACGGGTTTTATTTAGCATGCAGGGCAGGCTCTTCACCCAAGGAGGGGGCGGTGGCCGGGTAACCTTCGTGTCTAGCCAAGCCAGGACCCAGCGCTGTGCTTTGAAAATCGGCTTTACCCACAAGTTCTGGGCCCGGAATCCACAGCCCCCTCCCCATCCGCCCTCCCTCCCCGAAGATGTCATCTTTTTAGACGATTTCATGTGGAAGCATCGCTAAGTAAATTCGCTAAATGCCTATTCATCCTTGTCAGATGGGGACGCGGTGAAGCGGTAAATGTGAAAATGGCCCCAGCTCGGGGCCCTGAAAGGCGCTTTCTGGGGCTGCCAAATGGAGCCGCAGCCGCTGACCCTGGGAGGCCTGAGGCTTCGCGAGAGGGGGCCCGGGAGTCCCGGCCCGGCCCCTCCAATCCTCCCACCGAGACCGCTGAGAGGCCCCTGTTTATTATTCCTGCTGCCAGGGACCCATTCAGAGGTTAACTTGTCCCTGTATTCATCGGGAGGACAATAATGAACTGTCGCGGAGAGTGGCGAGGGGGTTGGTAAATAGGCACCGCTAAGCCACGGAGCTGGAACGCGCCTCTGTGATTTGGAAAGAGAGGTTGCTTAATTTCCTTTCCAGGCTGGTTTAGTATCCACCTCTCCAGCACCTTCAGGAAGCCCTCTGCCCACCGATCTCCATCACTGGGCATGAGGCACGCCTGGGCTTCACCCTGCCCGCCTGCGGAGATGCTCCACGTGGGCACAGACACGTGGGCTTGGCCTTTGTCTGCGTCCCCAGGCTTCACCCCTGTGCATATCCGCAGGGCTAAAGCTGTCTGCCTTTACGCCCGTGTGGATTTACCTTGTTGCAGACACACAGGGATTTTCTGGCGTCCGGCAGCCACTAGAACAGCCAGTTTTTGAAGTGGTTGATTTCTGTACTAGGATGGACTGTCAGCAGTGCTGGGTTCTACTGCAGCATCTCTTAACTGCTCTGTCCCCCTCCGCTGGAATTATGAGTTGGTCAACAAGAGTTAGCCAATCCGAGAGCAGGGGCTTAGAGTGGCGCGACTTCGGGTGATGCAGGGAAATGAGAGGGAGGGATGGCTGGGAGCGGCCCCCTCCCGGCTGGTGAGAGGCCAAGAGCAGAGCTCTTTGCATTTATTGTGCACCTACTGTATACCCTTCATGCAACCAGTTATCCATCAGTATGTATACCTACTTTGTGCAGGGCAGCCAGGTGAAGGCTGTCACTCGGAGGTTGAGTGGCTTACCCTAGGACACACAACTAGGTCAGGACTGGAGCTGAGATCTATCTCCAACCCTTTCTGCTTCCAGAGTTCAGGCATCGCTTTCTGAGGCACCTTGCCCCCTACCCCCCACAAAGTTCTAGCCTCCTTTCTCTTCCCAGAGATGCACCTTCACCTATTCTCCCAATTTGAAATGATAGTTAACCCTTTCCTTCTAAGTAAAACCCCCCCAGCAGAGAAGCCTGATGACAAAGGAGCTGTCACTTCAGCACCGTTTACCTGTTTGGGTTTATTCAGCGTTAAGAGGCGACTGCGTTTCTGGCAGATGGAGGCCCGTGTGACTGCCTTTTAAAATACTGTCACAGCTGTATGCACAAGCTGATTAGCTGTGACTACACTGCTAGTACTGAGATTGATGGCGATAAATTTGGGATAACAATGCTGGGAACGATGTCACCTGTTTGTATTGCACTTCATATTTCTTAAAGCTATCTCAGTCAGTAGCCCAGGGGTTAGGGAGGATTTAGCATTCATTCATTCATTGATGCATTCGTTTCTCAAAGTGCCTTGGAAGGCATCCCTGTAAACTCATCTCACCTTTAGTCATCCACTCATCCAGCGAACATCACTGTACCTCCTACTATGATTACTGCACCTCCTACTATGTGCCAGTGATGAGCAAGTTTGATTTGGTTCTGTCCTCATGGAGCTTACATCCTAATGTAAATTTAGGCCTTTCAGATGGTGATGAGATCATATGTAAGTAGAGTGATATGTTAAGTGAAGGGGAGTGGGTGCTGCTTTAGGTTGGGGGGCTAAAAACAGCCTTTCTGATGAGGTGACATTTGAAAAGAAATCTGATGACAAGAGCAGACACAGAAAGATATGGGGCAGAATTTCCCAGGCACAGTTCAGTTCAGTTCAGTCGCTCAGTCGTGTCTGACTCTTTGCAGCCCCATGGACTGCAGCACGCTAGGCCTCCCTGTCCATCACCAACTCCCGGAGTTTACTCAGACTCATGTCCATTGAGTCGGTGATGCCATCCACCATCTCATCCTCTGTCGTCCCCTTCTCCTCTTGCCTTCAATCTTTCCCAGCATCAGGGTCTTTTCCAATGAGTCAACTCTTTGCATCAGGTGGCCAAAGTATTGGAGTTTCAGCTTCAGCATCAGTCCTTCCAATGAATATTCAGGACTGATTTCCTTTAGGATGGACTGGTTGGATTTCCTTGCAGTCCAAGGGACTCTTGAAAGTCTTCTCCAACGCCGCCGTTCAAAAGCATCAATTCTTTGGTGCTCAGCTTTCTTTATAGTTCAACTCTCACATCTACGGAAAAACTGTAGCCAGGCACAGTGAGTGCAAAGGCCCTGAGGTTACTCTGTACCTGCCACCAAGGTATTCACTGATGTCTTACTGTTTGCTGATCCCAGTGTTGGGCCCTGGGGATTCCAAAACAGGTAAGACACTGCTAATTCTCAAGGAGTTCGCAGCATATGGGAGTGTGTAGGAGACAAACATACCAACAGTCCATTTTAGCATACTTTGGTAAACTCAGTGATGGAAGTACATGAATGTAGATGCCTCATGCATCTGCGAGGTATTAATGAAGGAGGGGATGTGGTTGCTGTGACAAAGAAGGGAGTCCACAGTCTCTGGAGGGCTCTGACTTTCCTTTTGGTTTGCTTCCACAGGACAAATGACCAGCTGGTGGCATTTCTCTCCCGATACCGAGACATGAATTTCTTGAAGTCACATGGCCGGGACAATGCAAGGTAGTATATCTTCCCTCTACCCTTGTGCAAAAGAGAAATGAAATCTGCGTCATCATTTGGGGCTTCCTTCTAGGCTGGTTTGATGCAACTAGAAACAAGTTGAGGATGGGAGAGAGGCACGGCACGTCTGGGCCTTGGCCCTTCCTGTGTAGAATCTGAAGTGCTCTCTCCTGCCAGCCAGAAACAGAGGAAACAGCAAATGTGTCTCATTATGTCATATAAGCATTTTCATGAGCCCATGTTCTCATTATGGCAGTCCTCTGAGGAAAGTAGGGTAATCATTTTATACTCATTTTATTGGGAGGAAGACTGAGGCCCATAGTTCAAGTTCATGATGTCCCCAGATCACACATTCGGTTTGCCAGTCATTCGGCAAATATTCACATGGTGCCAAGCGTGTGCCAGGCACCCTTCTAGAGGTGAATGAGACAAAATCCTCACTCTCATGGAATTTACTTTCAAGCAGGAAAGAATCTCACACCAGCAGGGAGTTGGAATCAAGGAAACCAACTCCCAGCCCTGTGCCTTCACCACTGCCTCACTCTTGCCGTCTAAGATATGGGCAGGGATTTGAGGCACCAGAATCCTTTCTGCTTCTCTCACTTAAACTGAGCAAAGCCAAACAGCATCACTACAGTCCCCCTTTGTGTGGTGGTTATTCAGTCGCTAAGTCGTGTCTGACTCTTTACGATCCCACAGACTGCAGCATATTAGGCTTCCCTGTCCATCAGCAACTCCCAGAGCTTGCTCAAGCTCATGTCCATCCAGTCGGTGATGCCATCCAACCATCTCATCTTCTGTCGTCCCCTTCTCCTCCTGCCTCAGTCCTTCCCAGCATCAGGGTCTTTTCCAGTGAGTCAGTTCTTCGCATCTGGTGGCCGAAGTATTGGAGGGTCAGCTTCAGCACCAGTCCTTCCAGTGAACATTCAGGTTGATTTCCCTTTGAGTTGAGTCTGAATCTCTGTGGTCAGTGATCGGCTAGAAGGGCTACAGTCTTGAGCGCCCTCTGTAGGAGAGATCAAGTGATCGGCTTCACTATCCAGACCGAAGATACCATTACAAACCCGCTCAGGCTCACTCTGTTAGCTTTTTTAAAAGGCTTATTTATTTTTAATTGGAGGATAATTGCATTACAATGTTATGTTTGTTTCTGACATACATCAACAGGAATCAACCGTAGGGCTCTGCCATCTTAGAACCTTTTTCTAGCATTGAACTCAGAACTTAATCCGATAGTTCACAGGATAATTTTAGCATGTTAATGCGTTTTGTTTGGCCTTGGTGCTGGTTTGGTTTTGTTTAATTCAGGTGCTTCATTTGAAAATTAATAGCCCCATTAAAAAACAGCAATCTTTCCAGTTCATCTTAAAAGAGCCACTTAAATGTCCCCTTACTCTGTGCCTGAATTTTCTCATGAAGGTTGTATTTTTGTTGTAGACAAAGCCTGTGTTCTACAGGACCCTGCAGTGCTTGCTGCCCTCTCCCCTCCCTGGCCCCACTGGCCTGTCCATTTGCCCAGCTGCTGCTGGGGGTGTCATTTTGGCTGGCTCTGTGATCTACTTTGCCCAGATATCCATAGCAGGGAGAGACAGAGGCAAGCAGTGGGCTCCATTTCCCGAGTTTTCAAGAAATAATCCCAAAATCCTTGGGTTGCACCACTTTCCTTAATTTTGACTTTGACTTCATCCAGCTGTCTGTTTATAGATCCGTCTTGTCCAACTGACAGTCTGCATTCTTTACATTTACTAGCAACCCCCAGACTTGAAGTTGCTCTGTAAATTAGCACAGATTAGTATAGCATGTTTTGGTCACTAAGCTGGCCAAGCCTGGGTGGATAAAGAATTATAGCCATATAGTGTATTGTGTTCCTGCTAAGTGCCTGTCACTCTGCTGGCCCCTTTTCACACGGGATCGAACTTTATTTTTATAGTCACTCAGATTCCATGGATGTGGTAAGTTACCAGAACTAGCCCAGATTTTGGTTCCCCACCCTTAGATAGAGAATGAAGACGCTTCTTCCCTTCCAGATAACTTATAATACATGCTTTGTGCAAAGTTACTTCGTGAGAAAAAAAAATCCACTGTTAAGTTGATAAACTTGTGTCTAAATCACATCCACCCTAGTATTGTTGTTTTAGCCTACTCAGTATTTATTCTCTGTCGTCTGCTATTTCCAGGCACTGTGCTAAGAGCTGGGTGTGGCACAGAGGTTAAGATTGTGGATTTGGGGAGTCATGCCTCCTGGGTTGGAGTCCTGATCTACCATGTCCTGGCTGTGTTGCATTGGACTGGTGACTTAACCTCTCTGAGCCTGTTCCCTTATCTGTACGATGGAAATATTAATGGACATACTGATGAGATCATTGGAAGGATCGAATGAGATGCTGTGTATAAAGCATTTGGCACATCATAAATGCCCTATGATGGTGATGGTGGTGGTGGTGTCATTGACGATAAACATCAGACTGAAATACTGCAGGCGGGAGAAATAAATAGACGATGTGCAGGCCAGGGTTGTGCCTTTGGGTTTTGTGAGTATGTCTTGTCCAGTCGATGTGCCTCAGGAGTTGACAGGTGGTAACCAAATGGCACAGCAGGATACAGGGCAGGATGAAGACTCAGGCTCAGGAGATACTGCTTGCACCTCCCTCTAAAACCATGAAACCCAAGGCTCTCTGGACAGGAGAGCTCACAAGTTCCAATACTCGTGCATGAGTCCTGAGCCAGGATTCACTCGCTTAGATGAATTAAGGATTTAACAGTAAAATGAGCCACCAGCCACCACTGTCTCCTCTTCGGCAGCTGAGGCCTCCTTGCTGTGGGATCAAGCCTAGCCACGCGCATCTTCCCTTGTGTCACCCCTAGAGGCATCCTGGGTGAGGCTTGACTCTGGTTCTGCACTGATGGTGTGTTAGGAAAAACTCTTTTTTTTTTTTGGTGGGAAGTGACAGAAACTCAGCTCAAACTTGATTAAAGGGTAAAGGAAGTTATTGGGTGATTCAACTAAAACATTAGTATCTGACTTTGGACATAGCTGAATCAAGCAGTTCAAATGATATCGTCAAGCCCAGACTCTGTTACTTCTTTTAAAAATTATTGCTTATCAGTCTGGAGAGGGTTAAAATAAAGTAAACACAACACATCAAGTAGTCAAGTAGTTCACTAGCAGAAATATTTTTTTAGTTGAGGTATGACTGTCAGATTAGTTTCAGGTATGAAAGGGAATGTGTTAGTTGCTCAGTTGTGTACAACTCTTTGTGACCCCATAGACTGTAGCCCATCAGACTCCTCTGTCCATGGAATTCTCCATGCAAGAATACTGAACAGGGTTGCCATTTCCTTCTCCAGGGAAGAAGGAATTCCTCACCCATTTCTGGGTTGGGCAATCCAGGGATTGAAACTGGGTCCCCTGCATTGCAGGCAGATTCTTTATTTTCTGAGCCATAGCATTCAATAAATGTATATATTGTAAAATGACCACCACAATATGTCTAGTTAATATCCATCACCACCCATAGTTACAGTTTTTTCTCATGATAACTTTTAAGGTCATAGCAAATTTCAAATATGCAATATGGTATTGTTAACTGTAGTCACCATGTTATACATTACAGCTTACATTACATTACAGTTTAGTAACTGGAGGTTTGTTTCTTTTGACCCCCCCCTTACCCATTAACTTAATCTCCGTTAGTTCTCTTCCCCTTTGTGCTGGTTTAATTTTCTGGCTTCAGATGGTGACCCTTCTCAACATATTAGCCTCATTTTACTAATGAGGAAACTGAGGCTCAGAGAAGTGAAGTAACTTATCTAAGCTCACACAGCGAGGGCAGGGCTAGGACTCAGTCCTAGATGAATGTGTCCCCAGAGCCCAGACTCAGAATCCTGCATGATGCAGCCCCTCTGTGTTCGGGTCCTGCTTTCTTCCAACATGCTGGGTGGCTTCGGGGCAGCCGCTCTGCTTCTCTGGGCTTCGCTGTGTTTGACAAACACAGTGGTTGAACGAGACAATCTCCAAATGCCCTTCCATTCTGACGTCCCGTGCTTGGGGACCAGCCCTTGCACAAGAAGATGTCACAGAGGCAGGGTTTAAAAGACAGAAAGATGGGAAGGACAAAAGCAAGCAGTGAGATACAAAATAGGCCACAGGGTGCCTCCGTTTTTAATTCCACGTGGTTTCTAATAGCAGTTTTGACCTTCTGTCCCTAGCTCCAGTCTTTAGCAGTCAATTTGGACTTCCAGCTCCCGCTGCTAAGAGATGGCATAAAGGCAGACTAGTATTTTAATACTACCCAATTGGTTCTGACTGTTCCTATAATTAAATGAAGGAGAGTGTAGTGTTCACTGTATTTCCTTGTTTTCCTCAAAAAATGAAGTAGCTAGATATATTGAAAGACATGTAGTGCAGTTATCATTTTCCCAGATAATCTCTGCAGGGCTGGCAGAAGCAGGTGCCCCGAATAAGCAGGTCCTGGCAAACATCCCCAGGAACTCCTGGTTTCTGCTCAGAGCATCAGAGAAGTTCCCCCAGATCCCAATAGCCTGATCAGGTCTCAGAGTGTGGGGCCCCTTACAAGGAGATGAAAAGAAAAAATAATTTCCCTCAGCCAGAAGAGAGTTTCTGGGACTTTCCTGGCCTTGGTTAGTATAAGTGCTCAATTAATTCAAGGTTACCAGGGTCCCAGTGCTCAGTCTTGGGGCATAGTGTAGAGTATTGGTGAGAGCATGGGCCCTGGAGTCTAGACACCTGTGTCAAAATGTCAGCTCAGTGTGTGATAGCCAGGGGACTCTGACAAATGGCTTTGATTCTCCACACCTCCATGTCCTCATCTTCATAAGACCCAGACATGGGGGATTGTCTAGATCACTTAAGACCCAGTGATGTGGGGATTGTGGAGGACTCAGTAGCCTCACAGACCACAGGAAGCATCTAGCCAGGTACCACTTTTGAGTGTGTTATCCCATTTCAGAGATGAGTACACCTGAGGCTTGCAAAGTTG